TACTGTTGGGATGCTTAAATTAATAAAATTAAAAGCAACAGTTCAACATTTGGGAAACTTATACTTATAGCAAAAGGTCAAGAAAAGGAAACATGAAACACAAATCAGCGTGAGTGGGCTATCTCAGCTCTGTTCAAAGCAATAAAATCCACCTAAATTTTTAAGAAATTACACACTTTTATTTTATTTTTTTGAAAAAAAATAAATGTACTTGACAATAAATTTTTCAGCCCTGAAACCCAAATGTGACTTTTGATGGCCTTTTCTTAGTGAATGTACATAATTTCCCTTACAGTAGGCTTTCTTTCTTGAGTGGAATCAAATGGTCCATGTATCATTTCGCTCTAAACTCACTGCAGCTCTCCTGTCAACACCTTGTACATCACAACTCAAATCACAGCTCTTCATCTAATGTAACCTGGATGTTTGTGAAAGAAGGAGCCATGTGGCAAAGGGAGGGGGAGTTCAGCTATTTATAGTTACCCTCCTATAATCTAGTAGATTTCAGAATCTGTACATATGTGGAGGATTCAAATTATTGTCTGTAGCTTAGGTGAAAGGTTTTCAAGTGATTCCCTTGTACTGCTTGTGTGTCCACATTTTTTGCAATTCCCACCAGGGAAAGTAAACCCTTCCAGTATTTTTATGTTAAATACTTGAAAGCATATATAGGTTACTGCCAGTGTGAGATCCACCTTAACATATAGATCTACAACTTACAAAACTGAATGCCCTTCTTGACAGCCTGAGCAGGGTAAACTTGCTTATACCAGGCCATAAGTGGGACTGTCCACTTATGGGTCACTACAGGTTGCCAACAGAAAACCCAAGTGGTTCCCTTAAGGTCATAAACCCCACATGGGCAGGTCTAAATTCAGGCGCGCATTCGGTCTTTTAAAAGATCATAAATTGAGCCCAGTAGTTGCATTACATGCAATTTCTACAACCTTAGTCGTTCCCGCACCACCACTAATAAGAAAAGTGACCAGGAGTATTTCACAAGACTTTATTGATTAAACTTGTACTCATGCCTTTGAGAGTCAGCTAGTATTTTATCTGGAAGGAAAGAGGGAAAGAGTTAGTACAGTTACAATATGCAGATTGTGACATGTAGGCATTTTAGGAAACATACCTGCGTAACACCTGTGTAGGAAGAAGCGGGTACCATTTGTGCTCCAACCTGGTAGTAACCTCCCACCACTGGACTGCTCACATACAAGCTGGGAGTCTGAAGGCTCTGAGCTGCTCCAACAGCCCCCACTGACTGTGCAAAGCCGGGGTAGGGGTGGTCTTTCAGGTAGTGAGTGCTGTGAGAGTAGTCTCGTCCCTGCTCGTAGTCCTGGCTGAAGTGACTGACTGTGCCCGCAGGGTACTGGCCAGTCGGGAACAATAAGTCAAAGGATGGATACGGACTACCCCACAGTCCACCCATTCCAAACTGTCCTGTGGCAAAGCCTGGGGATGCCAGTCCACCCGCAGCAGCAAAAGCGTCCATCGTAGCTGGGACAGTCCTGCGACCTAGTTCTTCTGTCTCCGACTGGTAGTCCCCAGCCTCAGCAGCCTTCTCATAGTGGGACAACTCTCCTGGTTGGTACGCAGGTACTGGTGGTAGAAGAGCACCAGGCTCATCAGCTGTGCCAGAGGCAAGGCTTTGAGGGTTGGGTGATGATTCCTCACTGAGCTTGGGAGGTGGGACAGCCCAGTTGATTTCTGAGAACAGCAAAATTTAAGCCAAGGTTACCAAGGATTCGGGTCAGGAGATCCTAATGACGGGGGTGGCTGTAGCTCAGGTGGCAGAGCAGGTCAGCTACTAATCAGAAGGTTGGTGGTTCGATCCCAGGCTGCCTCCTGGCTGCATGCCAAATATCCTTGGGCAAGATACTAACCCCATGTTTGCCTACTGGTGGTGGTCAGAGGGCCCGGTGGCGCCAGTGTCCGGCAGCCTCGCCTCTGTCAGTGCGCCCCAGGGTGGCTGTGGCTACAATGTAGCTTGCCATCACCAGTGTGTGAATGTGTGTGTGAATGGGTGAATGACTGAATGTAGTGTAAAGCGCTTTGGGGTCCTTAGGGACTAGAAAAGCGCTATACAAATGCAGGCCATTTACCATAATGATTGCATTTATACTGCATCATCACACTAGGTACCAGCTGCAGGTTGAGAAGTTGCTCCAGTTTGTGCAGAGCCAGCTGTGCTTCCTCCTGCCTGAGCAGGAGCGGAGTAACTGGAACCGGTGTATGGTGCTGCCACACTTTGAGCAGCATGTGAGAAACCAGGCTGCTGCACTGCAACACCTCCATATGGAGCACTATAAGGCACAGCTACAGAGGAGGGGTATGGATAAGGTCCTCCCTGGCTTAGGGCAACATTAGCACCAGTATTTGCGCTGCTACCTCGAGTAGAAACACCAGCATTTGAACCTTTTGAAAGAGAAAGCCACACAGCACTTGCTGGTAATGTTCACAATAAATGTTTGTAGTGCATCATGAAAGATTCCATTATTTACCAGCTGCAGGTCGAGCAGCACCTCCACCCTGTGTGGAGCCAGTCGTGTATCCTCCAGCCTGGGCAGGACCAGAAGAACTGGAGCCAGTATATAATACTGGCACGCTCTGGGGAGCATATTGATAGACACCAGGCTGCTGCACTGCAACCCCTCCATACAGAGTATTGTAAGGTACAACCACAGAGGATGGGTATGCATAAGGTCCTCCCCGAGTCAAGGCAACATTACCTGCAGTGTTACTGCTACCGGGGGAAGCACCAACATTTAAGTCTAGGAGAAAGCAGAATGCCTTTTTGTAATGAGAGCAATGCACATTTAAACTCATGAAATTTTTCACTGGTTATAAGCTGCAGGCTGAACAGTACCCCCAGTTAATGTAGAGTCAGCTGTGTATCCACCAGCCTGAGTAGGTTGAGAAACACTGGAGCTGACATATGCTGGGACTAGAACCCCTCTGTATTGAGGGCTGTAGGGAACAAGTCCAGGAGTTAAGTTGGCTAAAGTTCCTCTTGGGTTTGAGGCAAGATTATCTGCAGTGTTTACATTAGTTATCCTGTATTGAGTGCTGGGATTAGAGCCTGGGTGAGAAAGAACTGAAATTAATGAAGATTTATCACAAAGTTTTGTATGTTTAGGAATGTTTCACCTACCTTTCTCAAGAGGAAGGCTGCATATATCCACAACCAGCAAGACACAAAGGGAACACCTGAAACCATTTGAAAATATCAATCACGTGCCTACAAAAAGTAGTCAGTTGTGTAAAAAGAAAACGCCAACTACACCTGCCACATACCCCAGTGAGAGGCTTGTAGTCATCATTCTGAAGGCAACCAGTAGAACAATTACCAAAGGTGAAGGGTTAAAAATGCTGCGAGAAAGCAGTCTTAACCAATCAGAGCTTAAAGAAGTAATGG